TGGAAAAAAGGGGAAAAAAAAGGATTTCTAGGATTTCTAGCAATACTTATGTGGGAAACATTTTTAATTAGTTGTTAAAATTGGGCTCAAAAATATCAATTAACTGAAGCTATTTTTCCCCACAGAAAAACTATAGCACTAATAGAGAAACATCGAAGAATATATATGTATCATAAGTATGCACACATAGAAAGAGAGAAAGAAATGGAGACAGAGAGGGAGAGACAGACAGAGAGAGAACGACAGAGACAAAGGGAGAGACAGAGAGAAAGTAGTCCCCCAAAACATGGAAGTTTCTAAGGTCTACTCTGAACTTCTTCATCAGGAGGCATGTGATACATCTGATGTATAGGTATATTTATATAATGTTAATAGCAAAAAAAAAAACCAACAAGAAATAAAGGCAGGTATTGAAATCTAGATGCACTCTCTTAGTTGCATCCTAGAAAATACATACAAGGTTATTCAAAACTTCCTTTAAAAAGTCATATTAATCTTTACAACTTAGCACAAAATACACTGAAAATCACAATTTCTATAAAAGTTAAGTTACTTATTCATATTATGTGTGCAAATCAGGGTAGCCTTTTCAAAACTATTGTTAAGTATACAATATTGAAAGACAAAACTAAATACAAATTCACCATAACTATACCATTTCAATGTAAACAGAAAATTGACACTTATTGTCCCACACAATATTTGAGTCAATTTACTGTCCTCTGATGACAATTAATCATGCATGGTAAGCATCATTAGAGTGGCTGAAAACATTTCTTAAGCATAAAACAAACAAAAAACTAGCAAATAACAGGGCCTGAAAACAGTATAAGCATTGTTTTCTAAGTCTTACTCTGGAACAATGACTTTTAGCCATTGTCTTTAAAAATAAAGGACTGATTTCAATTTCATATCCCCAGTGTTTGAAAGTGAAGTGATTTCTCTGTTCAAAGTTTATACCATTTTTTCCTCTTCCAATCTGAGTATATTTTAGACTCTTATAGAAAAAAGTTTAAGTTTCCTGATCTCTAAATGCATTAAGGCAAACACTATTAGATCCGCCAGGCTCTAATATGTTTAAGGACCACGGTTAAGCAGTTATGCAGTTAGCTTCTGTAACTATCTTTAAATTCATTATCATATTAAAATAAAATAACTTTTTTTATCCTTTAGCGGTTTTAGAAAACAAATTGCAATATCGCGGATTGAATCACAAATACACCACTTTGCTAAGTAAAATTTAAATCACCTACCACTCATCAATGGAGATAAGAATTTAAAGAATTTCTAATTTAAAATGAAAGGTAAAATTTGACATTTTTATTAAAATTACCCTAATATATCCTTGAACAGTTCAAGGATACCCATAGTGTAAGTTTGAGTATAAATTCAACCCAACTACTGTATCCCATATACTCATGCTTTTTACAGATTCACTATTAATGATAATATAAAGTCTAAAAATAAAAGCTATGACTAGGCATTTTAGCAAAAGACTATCCTTTAAACAATTCATCTATACTTATTCTGTTTTCTCTAATAAATTGATCTGTTCACCCGAAAAAGAGTTAAGTTAAACATCCATGACTGTAGCACAATACAACGAAACATAAAAATAGGTAGTATATTTTACTAATTGACATGTCACACTAAAAACGAAATATTTCACAATTATCATAATGAATCAACAATGAAAAGGTTCATAAATTATAGACAGAAATATAGACAATAAATGATATGTTGGTAAAATGTTTAAGAAGTAAAATAACATGCACAGAAATCAGAGAGCTGAGAAGTTAGGCGCTGATGGGAATAGAGGCCTGATGATGCATGATATACATACAACAAACATCGGCTGGATTTATTAATGAATAGCTCCAAAATCTATCCTCCAAATTCTTAAGAAAATTATTGTGGCCATTGAGAAAAGAAAGTCTGTCTGTATATCATAAATACATTTCAGTCTCTCAAGTATTATTTCTGAGAAGAGAGCCAAGTTCTGTGAATATACTTGGTAATTTCTCATAAAGGTAAAATTAAGCTGCAATTTAAAAATAACTGGTCTTGTGTATAAATATAAACTGAAATAAAAATAAATGAATTTGTTAATTGTTCTTTTCTGTTTGAGAAAATGACTCAGCCTTAATCATAACAAAATCTCCCCTATATCCTCAAAAATTAAAATTTATGATTAAATTAAAGCTATGATTAAAATGTAAAAGTGGTAATTTTTATAAATTAGATCCAGATATGTCATTATTACATGAGTATTCAACATAGAAGGATTCCTATTTTATCCCCACAAACTCAACTGAGTCAGCTGAGTCAGAAATCCTATGACCTTTATGTCAAAAAGCCTATTAACATTATTTCATCTCTTTAATTCTCACAATAATCTTGTAATTATGTAAAGGAAAGTTTCTTTACTTTGCAAGTGGAAAAACTGAAATCATAGTCAGGGAAAACATTTGGCTGAGTGTGATTCACAAAGTAAGTCTCAGACATCAGGCTAATATTCACAATCTCAAACTCTTAAATACAGAGGAAATATAAAACACATGAGTTTGTTTGTTTGTTTGTTTTCAACCATTTAACCCCTAAGCCCACAATAGTAAACCTACAACCCACTTCTCTGAAGAAAAAAAAAAAAGAGAGAGATGAAACATAACTTTAATACATAAAGAAGAGTCTGAGAAGGCTTTGAGTTTCTGGCTGGTTTGGAATTAGGAAGCAGTAAAGGGCAAATGTGTGAAATACTGAGACCATCTCACCTTCTACTTCTTCACATGAAACAGCAAGATCTGTTTATCAGGATCACTTTTGACAAGCACAAAGAAGTCATGCTGGATACGTTTTCTACTTTAATTCCATGACTCAAATCTATGCTGGTTGAGAATATCTAATTGAATTATTCAATTTAGGTAGAAAACCATCTGCTCAAACCCCTAAGTCTTCAATTCTTGCTGCTATGAAAACAAAGTAAGGCCAAAGTCAAGGAATTGAAGTTGCAGCAAATCCCGTCCAAGGAGACAAATAGCAACAAAGTGTGGGCATTTGCAAAGTCTGATCAGCACAAACAGCATTGGGCCCCCAGCTATTCCACTGCAACACTGATAAGGAAAGTTCAGACTTTGCTCCTGGAGTCCTTTTTGTAATTTCCTCAGTCATATCCAACTGCACTCTACGTTTAGTTTATTTTTTTGCCAAACAGGCTGATCTTAGCCACCTGAAAATTCTCATTGCAAAAGAAACCTCTTGTTGAAACCCCAAGTACAACCGACAGCCCCTTTCCAATTATCCCCTGCAACTTCCCCAGTCTCTTTCATGCCTGGCTACTGAGCTCAGTCTAGTTTGGCTGCCGGCCAGGTTCCTCTCTTTTTTTCCTTGTCAGTCGTAAAAACTTGGAAAACACTCCTGGACAGCTCAAGGAGACCTTTAATTATGCAGTGGGGCAGTACCTTAGCCTGTTTGCTGTTTCCAGCAAAGCTTGTAGTCACCAGCGACTGCAATCTCCCAATTCATGGGTTTTCCAGCAAGACTACTTGTTCACATGAGGGGAAAAGGGAAAGGCTGACAGAGAAAGGGAGTAATTTGCAAATCTGAAGAATTTCCAATTCCTCTCAAAGTTTTCTACTTCCTCACATTCACTCTGTCTAATAATCTCCCTTACTTTAAGCACCTAATCACCCATTTTGTAATACAGACACAAAATCATCAGTATTGTGGTCTCCTGCTAGTCCTAGAATTGAGTCATGACTTGAACATTCTCCGTAACTTTTTATTCTCAAATGTTGGTGTAACATATTTTAAAAGCAGGCACAAAATGAATTTATTAAATCCTTCCAAATTGCATTATATTTTATCAAACTTGCAGATTGAAACAGTGCATGTAAAATGTCTGATTGCAAATGAGAGTAAAACGAGCTCAGCTGGGAAACAATACTGGGATCCAGGGAGGGGTACCTTGACTGCCAGTCCTCACTTACTTGGAGTTTGCCCAACGTACCAAGTGGACCCGCCAAGCCCAACACCAGCTAAGTCTTCCTTACTCTACCTTGGCACGCTAGTTCCCGCTGCAGCGTCCAGCTTCCTGTTCAAGTCCCATTCAACATCGTAAACACATTCCAAGAAAACCAGCCTGCCCAGAGTTCCCTCCCGCACACAGGGAAGTCAGCGCGGCAGCCGCAGGAGCTGCAGAATAGAAAGAACTGACTGCTCCGGATTCTGATCCGTGTAGTGAGTGAGGCCACGAGAAGCTGGACCCGCCAAGCGAATTTAGCAGTCGCAGCGAGAACCCAAGGGTTCATCAACCCCGCCAAGCCTTGCGCCCTCCAGAAGCAGCTACTTGACCCGCGCGGCAAAAGGGTAACCATGTGGACGCCGCCCCTTCCTTTTGGGCCCTCCCAGCTCTGGGCTTTAAAGTATCCGCGGCCCGGCCTTAGAGCTTCGCGCCTCCCCGCCCCCATGCCCACATTCTCTCCCTGCACCAACAAAAGGGAGGCTGCCCTGGAAGTTCGCTCTTGGGTCGCCTGGCTGTGACCCGACGATGACTTGCCTGCTCAGCCCAGTCTGATCCACGCACCCTCAGCCGGACTGATCCACGGTTGCCCCACCGTCTCCCTGCAGCTCTTGCCCACCGGCCCCCCGCCACCGGACCAAAGTTACCACAAAAGGCTAAGGAGGCTTCTGGAGCCCGGAGACCGCTGCGTCCCCGACCTAGCTGGACTCCCCCCGTCATTCCTCAAGCGCTGCCATAGCAGGCGTCAACAGGTCTTAGCCTCCTTTCGTGCTGGACGACTCCCTGAGCCGTTAGCTGTCCTAATTTTTCACAACCTGCCGGGCAGCGGCTACCCGCAGCTCCGCGCCCTCCTTCCCAGGCACTGGTGGCCGGAGCTGTCCACCCCCGCTGCCCCTCGGGGTATCAGTTTCTAAGCGATTCCACGCCACCTGGAGGGAGCCGGGGCTCGCAGCCAGGGAAGAGCCCAGATAAATCTCCATACCTCACTGAGAGATGCAGTCAGGTCAGGCTTCGGGCAGGGGCGTGAAGAGCTGCCGGGTCCTCCGAGCCTGGCGATCTCCGCTCCAGCACAGCCGGGGCCCCGTCTCCGAGGCCGAGAGGGAAAGTTTCTCTACGTCAACACGGCGCTGGACTCGGGACCCTCCAGCTTCGGTCCCCTCCCTCTTCGCGCGCTCTCCCCCCTCCCTCCTCTTCCTAATCCGCTGAATCCAAAACTGGCTCTGGCGGCAGCTGGGACGCGGGGCTCGGGACTCCGGGTCGCTCCCGGCCGGGAACGCGGGGCTCCCCCTCTCGGTGAGAAGGAAACTCTCACAGACTCCGGCTTGCGCACTTCTGGCGGTCTCCTTGGACACTTCCACACCGGACGCCTGTGTTCGAGCTCGCTGACTTTCCTTCATTAATCTCCGATGGTCGTTATCTGTGGGCCCACTGGGCTATCCCGCGCGTGCACGCGGAACCGGAGGTGGGTAGAGGGTGGAATGAGGGAGAAACCCATCTGCCGAAGGAGGGGCCCTGCCTTACTCAGCCTTTAGCCCGGACAGAAGCAAAACCACAGGCCCCCGCTCCCACCCCACTCGCGCGGCGTTTCCAGCCTCGTCCCTGAGACACTAGAACAGGACCATTTGCCTTTTCTTATCTCTGTGTGTTTCCTAACACAATTTTAAAACACCTCTGAGGCTTCGTAGAGGCGGAACGTGTCAAAAGAAATACACGAATAAGAGTAAAACGTGCCGTCTTCACAGCCTTTATCAAGAAAGCAGTTGCTGCTGCTCTGGCCGCACCTCAGCAGACTGGTTTGTCCTCATTTGTTTTTTAACTCGGCCTTAATCTCTGGACTTTGTTACGCCTCAAAACAGACACACACAGACACTCACATACACAAACGTGAAAATTGCCTTAACTCCCAGACCATACTAATTTGCTCCATTCAGATGCTTATCCCGGAATTAAGGACTTCTGTGTAGGATTTGAGGGAAAAAACAACAGCCCATTCTTATCGACCTTTAGTAGAGTTCTGTATGGGAAAGTGGGCGAAGAGGAGTATCCTCGCATAAGAAGTTCTTAAAGGATGAGAGGACCTTTACTAAAATTCTTGGTGCTGCTCAGAATTTAGTTTACTAAATTTTAGTTTTAGTGTGAAAATAGATGAGAAAAGGAAAAAGGCATTTTGCAAAGCTAGCAGTTATAATGTATTACAATGGATCCAGGGCTTAGAGTCAGACAGACCAGATTACATTCCAAACTCCATCCTTAGGCTTTCTGTGCCTATCAATTATAACTGCCAACAGGAATTATATAATCTAGCTCACGGAGTCACAGTCACATTTACAGGAGTTAAAATAGAGTCGTGATAGGCACAGAGAAAATACTCAATAAGTATTTGGTTCTTATATCCCACCATGTTTTACTGTTATCAGGAGAGACGGTGGTGCTAGAAATTTTCCCCCAAAGACCCTGTAATTGAATCAGTTTTCTTCTCCCTAATGCTTTTTCCATTTAAAAAGGCCTCACTTCACAATTTTTGAAATGGAAACTATTTGTTTACAGATTAACTAGTTCCAGCTGAACTCTGTTATTTTAAATACAAGGTAATTGAAGTCTAGGGCTCTTGAGTGACTTTCCCCAAATCTCATAGTTTGGAGGTACTAAAGCTAATATCAGAAATCAGTCCTCTTAATAATTTGACCAGGGTCCTCTTTTAACTGTTCTTCCCTTTATCACAACAGTCAAGCACACATAAAAATAATTATATTAACAATCTGAGAACAAATGCTACTTGTTTTTTCTGTAAATAACTTAAGCAATGAATTTATGAACAATCATTAAAAATTAATGTCATTTAGATGATCACTTGGTATCAATGTGATTATAAAAATAAAACACATGGTAGTCCAGTATTTAGGAATAAGGTGGTTGATGAGATGAACAAATCCATGCTTACATTATATATTTACAGATAGATATTTTGGATTTTTTAGCCATAATATTAAAAGATTATAATAAAGAACTCTCAACTCCCAAGAATACATCAACATACCACTACGGTTGGCTGATCCTAGTCTGAGAACAACTAGATCAGTGTTCAGGACACACAATTCAACTTGAACAAGTTCAGGGCTAAAGAACAAATCAGGCTACAGAGATCAAACTTTCCATCCTGTGAAATAATGGAAAATCCCATCGCATGTATTTATTTATCATTCATTTGCCTCTAGTACCTGGAAGAAGGTCTTTTTAAAAAATTATTCCTTGCCATACACAATGTTGAAAATCATCTGAACTTTTACACAACTAACTCCCATGTTCTCAGAGATGAGACCCTATATCTTCCTTCTAAGTAGGAGTTATTTACTACTCCGGCCTCATCCTCAGTTTCCTAAAGGCATATCATAGCCTCTTTAGAGGTCTATCTTTCCTATCCATGAGATTTGGAAGATCCTAAAGAGATTATATATATATATATATGGCTACAAAGCACATCCATCTTGAATGGATAAATGAAGACAGATGAGTCCTCATAACTGTCTTTTTCCAATCATTACATACAGTGCTAAAGATTACTCATTTTTATATTTTCTCCCATTTTTTAAAGTCTTTAAACTTGCTATTGCTTTGTAATTTTTATAACCTGACTTTTGATATGATCTGCTTTGTGAAATGGCTCAGAGGTATAAAAATCTCAGGAGTGTCAGAACCAAGTTTTTAAAAACAATAAAACTAAATGGAACAAGATTTTAAAACAAATTTATAGCATGCCCCAGGAAGTAAAGAAGGGAGATGCCAAAGAAAAGGGTTGCATAAGCCTGGCAGAGCACTATGATGAGAAATACGCCTAACTTTACGTATTGCAAATACCTCAGATTTCCATTTGAAAGTTCTTCACATTCATCATAGGTGCGTATAGACCATGATGGAAACTCAGCAGCTTTCCAGTAATTTTAAAATTAATTTTCTTGCTCAAACCAGAATTAGGTTTCTTTTAACCTGACTAAGGGAACCTTGGCTACGACAAAAAAATGCCTGCTACTTATCTTAAGGAAAACAGTTTTATTTCTGATTATTGCAAAAGCACACAAAAATATGCTGGTTGTTTAGCCCTATATTTCTGCAAAACCAACATTTAAAGTATTTGACAACCTTTTAAAAACTGTAATGAAAACCAAGATTGAAATCCAAATTTCAGTCATGTGATTTGAAAGGGGGACATGTTTCTGTTTGCCATGTGTAACAGTGTCCAAATATCCTATGAGTTCCTAGGGGGCTCTAGGTTCCAAAGTTATTGTGTTACATTTACCTTCAAACCTCTATCATTTTATCTGTCATTCTGAAAGAATTGCTTTATTTTGATCTTCTTGATTAAGAACATGAAACTTGACCATTGCAAAAAAAAAGAAAAAATAGGAGGGCAACTGCAAAAGGGAAGTAAATATCACCTGTATTCCCATCACCAAGAATACCCATTGCTCACATTTTCTCTATATGCTCCAAGGTTTGTTGAGGGCTCTGAGAGACTCAGGTAAATAGTATCCCTTCTTTATGCCTGGGTGGGGAATAAATTGACCAAAAAAAGTTAAAAATGAGAGCAAAATATTATTCTATTATTGACAGATAACGGATTTGAATTGGTAGATCCAAAAGCAAAGAACAGAAACAGCAGCCTCAGTCACGTAGTTCCTGGCCTCCTTCTAACTTGAAAGGAGACAGTGCCTTTGAAAAAGGATTTAAATTGTTTTTTGAGTTCTATTCCAAAGAATGAAAGAGAGAGAAAGGTAGCTGAGCCTGGCATGCCCAGCAATTCTTCCCAAGTTTATTCCTAAGGTTATCTACCAAATGTCATAACATGTCTCCAAGGATAAGGAAAGACCAGTCCTCTTAACCAGTAAAATATTTTTGCACAGAGGAAAGGCATTACTCAGCACCCACAGCCATTTAACATTTTTCTTTCCATTAATAATTTTCTTTCTATTTTTTTAATGTGGAACTGTAACGTACATACTACTACTTTCTTTTTTTTCTTGAGACAGAGTCTCGCTCTGTCGCCCAGGCTGGAGTGCAGTGGCGCGATCTCGGCTCACTGCAAGCTCCGCCTCCCGGGTTCACGCCATTTTCCTGCTTCAGCCTCTGGAGTAGCTGGGACTACAGACGCTGCGCCACTAGGTCCGGCTAAGTGTGTGTGTGTGTGTGTGTGTGTGTGTGTGTGTGTGTGTATTTTTAGTAGAGACGGGGTTTCACCGTGTGTGTGTGTGTGTGTGTGTGTGTGTGTGTGTGTGTGTGTGTATTTTTAGTAGAGACAGGGTTTCACCGTAGCCAGGATGGTCTCCATCTCCTGATCTCGTCATCCGCCCGCCTCAGCCCCTCAAAGTGCTGGGATTACAGTCGTGAGACACCGCACCCGGCCCATACTACTACTTTTTAACAGTATAGCATGGGCTTTTTTCCCTGCCAGTGTTTATTAATAATTTTTTGCTATTACAAACAGAAATGATGGCCATTTGTACATACGTATTTTGTATGTCATCTGTTCACATATTGTGCCTATCCCTTACAGTTATTTCCTTAGAATAAATACCTACAAGTAGATTATCAAGTTATAGACTTTTTATTATTTTGAAAATAATCTCACATTATAGAAAAGTTACAGATAGAGTACAAAGATTTATTTTTATTTTTACCTGAACCATTTTTAACTTGCCATCATGATACCTCATCCTTCCCAAATCCTTTGTGGACTTCCTTAAAACACAGATCTTCTCCTCCATAAAGAAAGTAAAACATCAAAACTCAAGAAATCAACATTCATATATTTCTACATTTAATTCTCATGTCCTATTCAGGCTTCTCCAATTACTCCAACAATGTTCTTTATAACAACAGGATCCAGTTTGGGATCACAGTTGCATGCAGTTACCATGTCTCTTTGACTTTCATGGTGTTGATACTTTTGTGAATTGTTTACTACTTACCTGGCAAAAATGTAATTTATCATTAGAGTCAGCTAATATATTTTGGCTGATGAAAAAACGGAAGTATAATACTATATTCTTTTTTAAAAAACAATTCTAATAAGTTGTACCCAGTTTTGATTTTTTCCTATTACTAATGATCTTCACTTGATTGTCTGTCAGACTTCTCTGTAACATTAACCTCTCTCTCTTTATAATTGGTCCATATTGGTGGCATTGGTGGTATAGTGGTGAGTATAACTGCCTTCCAACCATAATTGGTCCGTATTTCCTGGGGAGGCACTTGAAACTAGGCAAATACTTCATTTCTCATCAAACTTCCAATTTCTTAGTTTGTTTACTTATATTAGTATTGATACATGGCTTCCTATTTTACTTGCATAGGTATAATCTGTTTCTATGATGATTTATTTTTGACACTTAAATTATCTCAGATTTGGCCAGACACTGTTTCAAGCTAAATTCCATATCCCTTTACCGTGTATCTAGCATTCTGTGAGCATTTTCTCAATTTGGGGCACAAAAAGGTGTTCAAGTCTCATTTTGTATTTCCCCAGCCCCAGCCCAGGAATCAGTCATTTCTCCAAGAAATTTGTTTCTTTTTAGTGAAGGATGGTATTTGGAATCTGAGCTCCAGTAGCTACGTTTTTTGCTGTTAGGTTTTCTTCCTTTGCTTAGGCCCTCTCAGTAACCAGAGCCAGGGAATATATGCATGTATGCACTTGTACATATTTACATCTTTCTGCTAATCTATCTGCTTATCTATCACCTATCATCTGTCAACATCTCTATCATCTCTATCTATCATCATTTATCTATCTTGAAAGCCACGAGTTCAAACATTTACCTTCAATTGTAGTACAATACTACTTTTTATATTTGTAGCCCTCTTCTCCTCTTGTAAAAATCTGGCTTCCACTGTCATTATTCTTAATATATTTTCTTAATTAATCAATGTCCTTGTCCATACCCAATCTCCCATGGCTGTCACAGTCCCCTTTCCTATGTGCCCAGGCCACTCCTTCTGCAGGAACATCCTCATCATCCTGCTCAGATTCTTAACACCTCAAGATTGACAGCCCTCCTGTGCCCTCTTCCCTCACCTAGGGCTCTAGCACACAGTGTCAGGCTTCTCTCTACAAGGATTTCCTTTGCTTCTCCAATTACCACACCAGGCTGTTTCTCCACTGGAACACCATTTTCATTGTACTTGGGCCTCCTCACCCATCTCTGGGCCACTGCAATACCCCCACCCTTATATCAGTGCAGATGCTTATGTTGCTTGGCTCCTTCTAATAGTTTAAATACATATTGCCAAACAAATTCTGAAAAGTTTATAAAAACGTACATTCCCTTGAGCAATGTAGGTCAGTGTAATTTCCTCAACATGTGGTACTTGTGTTTTATTTATGACATATGTTGCCTATGTAGACTATAATGGACTCAGGTGCAGATGGCTGTGCTAAGCATGCTTCTTGGTGTTTGGCACATCATTAGCCTACAAGGTCCCTTGAGGATTTTATTTAAATATGTGCTTTTTCTTTGTTTAAGGGAGCTCTGAAAACATAAACAAATACAAACAAGTTCATTAAATATGTACTTTTATTTTCATTTCCTCCCATTCACTGACCCAGCACAAGTACTTAATGTAATGTGTACTTTCATGTGTTTAAGGTGTACCTTTTTTTGTAAGTATTCTTTCAAAATATTTATTTTCATATGCATTTTTCATTTACCTAAATGATATCATGTAAACTATTCCATCTTGGCCCTTATTTTTTTTTTTCTCCAAACACTTAAATTTTCAAGTAATCTTAGTGAAAAATTAGCAGCTCAATCGCTTTAATTTTTATTACTTTCACTGTTAATAAAACTGAATAAGTTTTCATAAAGTTAATAACTATTTATATTTTCTTTTGTGAGGTGGCTATTTATATATTTTGTACATTTTTCTCTTTTCTCTATTGTTTCACATATTTTTTCTTTTTCTTATTGATTTTTAAAGGTTCCATGTGTAGTAAATATATTAACCTCTAGCTAAAAAAGGGGGTATTTTTCTTATTAACTTAATTAAAATAATTAAATTATTTTGTTGTGTTTTAAAATTATGTAGAATTTCTTTAAATGTAATCTTTTTATGATTTCTTGAGTTTTTAAAAAATATGATGGCATTTCACCCAAACTAATTAGCAATATTTTCTTCTAGTATTTTGTAGTTTTTGTTTTTCAATTTATTCTGATGTGAAGTCTAAAGATAGGGCTTTTGTTTCCCCCAGAATAATGACCTAGGTGTCCAACACCACATATTGAATAGATCCATTCTTTGCCTAGTGATTTTCAGCAGTAATTTTTATCATATGTTAACTTAGATATGAAACAGGGTCTGTTCAATCAGAACTTCCAGGTGTGGTCAAACAGCATGCAAAATGCAGTAAGACACCTAAAAAAGGCCCAGTGCAGAATAAAATCCAGCCAAGTTCTTTCACCAGCCAAGCCAATGGAGCTTGCAAGCAAGAAGAAAGGGATATCTTTTCTAACTACAAAGGCATCTTCGGCTCCTAGCCAAGCACCTGCAGAGCTTCCTTAGAAAGAACTGGGCATCATGTGGGTTAACGGTAGTCCTTTCCCATTTAATGGTCAGTGTATTTCTGCAATAGAACATTATTAATTATCTCAAACTATCATTGTTTAAAATATCTA